CCACACACACAGCAATCTTGCGCATCTAAAAACATTTTTTCTTGGTTAAGTATAACAGCATTAATAAAAGAAACAAAGAAAGAAAGAAAGAAAGAAAGAAAGAAAGAAAGAAACAACACACACACACACACACACACACACACACACACACACACACACACACACAAGTACTGAAATATATAATAATCTATCCAGTTTCATTGCATTCAGCTTCGCTGCTCTTTCTGGACGGCTGATACGACAAATCTTACCGAAAAATGTCTCTCTATGACTTTTGGGGTTGAAATGCCTTTAAAAGAAAAATAAATAGATGTTATTGTGTGTGAGTGCGTGTGTATATATATATATATATCTATCCCTGATACTGAACAATTTTACCCATAAATAGAGCATATCTTAAAAACATATTTTATATGTGTACTTTCCTTTGATTTCAGGTCAAAATATCCAGATCTATCTATCTATCTATCTATCTATCTATCTATCTATCTATCTATCTATCTATCTATCTATATAATAGAAAAGGTATAAGAATTTAGAAAACTACTATTTTGACATGTTCACCGATCAGTTAACTTTCTCAGAAAAAATGAATTTTAATTCAAAAATTTTATTTCATTTTCTTTTTTTCAAATAAAATTATTTTTTCTGATGACGACGATTCATCGGCAGAAAAGTCAAAATTTAATTTTTCAGAACTTACATATTTACCTTCCGTTGGATTTTCATGTAAACACACACACACACACACACACACACACACATATATATATATATATATATATATATATATGAAGAAATATAGTTTTAAGGTGTGCTTCATTTATGGGATAAAGTGCTCAATAGCAGAGATATAGCATATGCAAATATAAATATAAAAGTGAACATTGAAGTCATTGCTGGCCGCAATCGTCAGGCCGCCTGACGATTGCGTCCAGCATGAAATAACCTATCGCCTCTGAGTGTTGACTTCAATGTTCAATATTATATATATATATATATATATATATATATATATATATATATATATATATATATATATAAGTAACGAAAATCTTGGTAATCCGTATGGATAATTCCAAAGAGGATGAAATCCTGAGAGCTTAATGTTAATTCAGAGCAAATAATTTAATTTAAAGAAAAACAGACCACATTAAGGCTCAGAGAATTTTATCTTCACCAGAGAATTTTATCCTTCTCTGGATCCTCAGACTTCACTTTCAAAAGGTGAAACGAAAAATGAAATTAAAATTTACACTTTTGACGGACAGTATTAAGCTTATATAAGTTGACATAGAGGGTGGCGAGGCATGGTATGAGAGACATGGTCAAGTTTAGAGAGTGAAATATTTTTGTATTTCTTTTTATAATACTTAATATTGAGGAAGGAGGAGGTAAGGATCAGACATTGACCTATTTAATCGGTCAACTCAATGGAAATGATATGAGAAAAGGAAAAGGAGAAAAAGGGGAAAAAGAAAAAAGGGGGAAGTAAAGAGATAAGAGATGTACGTAGGGTTTTTGAAGGAAGAAGAGGGGTGGTATAGTTTTAGCAATTTAGATAAAGACAGATTTTAACGTTTGATCATAATTTAAATGCTCAAAAACTCGACAAAGAAAAGAAATTTGATGCTTGTTTGCAATTTAAATATTCAACTTCTCCACAATTGAATATTAGTTGAATACTATATTAATAAACAACAATAATAAAAAAAAAATTACTGATAGTAATATTTTAATATTGTGAATGACTGTTACGGTAAAATCTTTATCAGTTAGAGTCTAATTCAAGAATTTAATTTGTATCTATTTTTAGATGGTTAATATTTCTCAAAGTTTAGGTTTTAAATCAAGATGGAGTGTGATTTGAAGTTAATAGTAAAAAAAAATACTGTTTTTCATACATACACCACATACATATTTAGGTAAAAAACACATACACATACATTCATATACATGTGCAATTACACATATAACCACATACCATGTATCGATACACAGCGGTATATATGCATATACATATACAAATACTTACATATACATTTACATATCTTCATATCTTCATACACATCCATATTTATACATATTTAAAATTTTACAGATAACGTTAGGTGGTGAATTAAGGGTTTAAATTTCAAAAATTATTTTTAATTTTAATATTTTAAACATTATGACTAATGGTTAAGGTGTAACATATTTTAATTTAAACCTAAGTGATCAATTTAAATTGAGATTATCTCCAGATGAGTAAAATTTGCAATCTTAACAAGTCTAATTAGAAATTATTTAAAGAGAAGGTAAGATTAAAAGGTAATAAAAAAATATTTTCTGACCTTCCATTAGAACTCTCTCTCTCTATATATATAAACCCTACACTCATGTATATATATATATATATATATATGCAAATATATGCATACAACTATATCCTACACATATATTCACACATATCACATATATAAATTCGAAAATACATACATATATAGACATATACAAACATATATGCAACCCCATATTCATGAATCGATACATATACACATATATCTAAATTTACGAATGCACATATACATATTTACACTCACTCACCTACAATATATATATATATATATATATATATATATATATGTGTGTGTGTGTGTATATACACATGAATATACATATACACATAAATGCACATATACATATCCAAGTTCATAGACACATTTATATACATAGAATTATGTACTCGCACACATGTGTGCATACAATCATCCTCAAATCTAAAAATAAATAATATTTACCATCGTATATAGTTTTTTTTTTTAATTTTTTATATGTAGCGAGTTAAATTGGGATATATATATATATATATATATATATATATATATATATATATATATATATATATATATATATATTTTTCCGACTGCTGTCATAATGCTTATTGTCATATTCACATATAAATAGTTACAATGCCTTATCTCAGAAATATATATATATATATATATATATATATATATATATATATATATATATATATATATGAATAGTGAGTGTGTATGAGAAAAATATAGTATTAAGGTATGTTATATTTAAAGGTAAAAGTACTCAGTATCAGAGCTTGTATAAATATAAGAGTAGGCTGGGACCAACAAGGCCTGAAGATTGTGTTCAAACATGGAAAACTGCCGTCACTCGGTGTTGACGTCGGTGTCCACTTACGTATGTCCCAGTGTGTAGCACCTTTGGAAATTGCCTGAACACCATACCAAAGTTTGATCTAAGCCTGCTAAGTGAAATTGGGTGTTCGTCGATGGATGTGTTAGCATGAAGTCACAAGTCATCGGAACAGAGGTGTTGAGTGTACTAGCCTGATTCAAACTGTTGATCCCACCATGCGTTGTCTTCCATTGCAGTATAAACCACAGGTGGGTTCTGTTGGTATTGAACAAACACAAATATACTTATAAACGGACGGTAATAACTATAGTGTTTAAAATTTTAAAGAAAACTCTCTACTCAAATATGGGTATCCACTATAAAATAACGATTAAGTGATAAAAATCTTATCGGATTAATAAATAAAAAATCCATTACTTCTTTAGAAATATGTATGTTGGCTAATGATAAAGTGGATGTTTATTTTATATAAATTATTGATAATTCTGCATAACTTTTTTCTTTGTCAATTGATCTAAACCTGGAGTGAATATTAATTCTATAGATCGAAAATGATGCAATAAAAAACTCAGTACCTTCGTGTGTATGAAACATTATGAAGTTTGGAGAGTTTTTTTGTTGTTTTTTTTTTCATAAATTTGATCTAGATATAGAACCTATCTATGTGCCTTTGGCATATAAAGCTTATTTTTAGAAATAAACCTGACCCTCAAAATCACCCTGTCTCACAACACGGTGAAGGTCAAGATTGGGGGTCAAGATTGGAGTCTCTGAATCTTTCCAGTCAGCTATAGATTTTTTTTATATTTTTACGTGTATTTCATGAAAAAATTATGGTATGTCTTATGCTGCAAAATACGCTATAAAAGTGTGTATATGTGTGTGTGTGTCAGTGCGCGCACCAACGCATACAGACATTCTTGTTATGAATTCATTACTTAATTCGTCTGGTTGAGATAAACAAGGATGGAGAAATTATAACTACAACATTCCACATATGCGTATAAACAACGTAAGGATCAGTACTATATTTATATACCCTTACTCTCATATACACAACACAACTGCATGGAAGTAATACATAGAGACATAGAAATAATTAATATATTTTTAAAATCTATCTAAATAATCCAGTACATTTTTCCAGCAATTCTTCTTACTCAAAATAATAGGCATTTTATCTCAATTAAATTTATTAATGCAAATAACTTTCCGCAAGTACAACTATTGTAGTTGAAAAATTAGCCACAATTTGTATTAGGTCTAAGCTTTTGACTCACATATGCCATAGTCACTTATCTATCTATCTATCTATCTATCTATCTATCTATCTATATATCTATATATATATATATATATATATATATATATATATATATATATACACGTGTGTGTAACACATTCTGTTCATATCTATCAGCATATATTTCAATTAATCCGACTAGTGAGTGCATGTGCACTTATATAAGCGAAAACAACCAGAAGGAAGGCAAACTTGATCCTAAGCCTGATTTTCAGAGCGCTGAGTGAGGATCAGAATTCCATATAATTTCAATAGAAGATCTGATAGATTTAACTGGCTCAATCAAGATTATTTCAAAGCAATGTATCCGCAAACACACACAAACACAAACACACACACACATATATATGTATATATGGTCACGAGCAAACGCACTAAGGTCAAGTAATATTTAAGGCGTGTGTGCATATGTGCGACCTTTCTTTCAATTTATCTATCAAAAAAGTAAATCAGATAAAAAGAGGTGTTATTTAAACCATGCATCAAGTTATGTAGACAATCAGTTAAATTGCTAAGTAAATGTGTAAAGAGAATTGGTTTAAGAATCAGAAGAATAAAGATAAAGTAAAAGGAAAGACGGGGAGGGACTGTAGAGATCAGGAAGAATAGAGCAGAGAGAGAGAGAGAGAGGGGAAGCTGAGGGAGAGAGAGAGGGGGGAAAAGAAGCTGAGAGAGAGAGAAACTGAGAAAGGGAGGGAAAAGAGTTGAGAGAGAATGGAGCTGAGAGGGGGAGGAGAAAGACAAAGGAGCTTGCTGAGAGAGAGAAAGGAGCTGAAAGAAAGAGAGAAAGAAGGAGAGAGAGAGAGAAAAGAACTGAGAGAGAGAGAGAGAAAGGAGGAGAGAGAGAAAGGAGGAGAGAAAGAAAAAGGAGGAGAGAGAGAAAGATAGATACAGAGAGAGTGAGAAAGAAAGGTGGATAATGAGAGAGCGAGAGAGAGAAAGGAGGAGGGAGAGAGAAAGGAGGAGGGAGAGAGAAAGGAGGAAAGAGAAAGGAAGAGAGAGATGAAGGGGAGAGAGTGAATGGAGGAGAGAATGAAAGGAGGTGGGGAGAGAGAAAGGAGACAGAGAGAAAAGAACTGAGAGAGAAAGGAGATGAGAGAAAGAGAAAGAGAAAGGAGATGAGAGAGAGAGAGAGAAAAGAAAGTAGATAAGATGTGTGAGAGAGAAAGGAGATGAGAAAGAGAAAGGTGATAAGATGAAAGAGAGAGAGAGAGAGAGAGAGAACGGAGATGAGATGACAGAGAGAGGGAGATAGAGAGAAAGAAAGGAGATAGGATGAGAGAGAAAGATAGGATGAAAGAGAGAAAGGCGATAAGATGAGAAAGAGAGGTAAAGGAAATAAGATCACAAAGAGAGAGAGAAAGAGAGAAAGAAAGGAGATGAGAGAGAGAGAAAGGCGATAAGATTAGAGGGAAAGAGAGAGAGAGAAAGGAGATGAGATAACAGAGAGAGAAAAAGAAAGGAGATATGAGAGAAAGTAGATGTGATGAGAGAGAGAGAGAGAAAAAGAGAGAGAGAGAGAAAGAGAGAGAGAGAAAGAGAGAAAGGAGATGAGAGAGAGAAAGGCGATAAGATTAGAGAGAAAGAGAGAGAGAAAGGAGATGAGATAACAGAGAGAGAAAAAGAAAGGAGATATGAGAGAGAGGAGATCAGATGAGAGAGAGAGAGAGAGAGAGAGAGAGAGAGAGAGAGAGAGAGAGAGAGGAGATGAGAGAAAAAAAACCCCCAAAAATAAGCAAAAACATAGCATTCCTACTCCAACCCCAATTATCTAGCCAATGAAGCCACGCAATTTTAAATGAAACGAAATTATTCAGAGAACGAAAGGCGGCGACAACGAAAGTAAAAAAAAAAAAAAAACGGCGCTTATGTAGTACTTGTGAAGTCTGTTTTTGTATTATGCGCGCGAACTCGTGTGCATCCATAACTTCATAATGTGTCTTTTAGGCAGCCATATAAATGCCGGCACTCTGGCAAGTGAATGTGTGTTTGAGACAGGTATAGAGTTCTCTGTCGGGGGAAAAAAAGTAAGCCTAAACGTAAGGAAGAGGGAAACAAGAGCAAACATTACTTTAATCTTCCAAAAATCTGATCTAAACATCAAACTTACCTGGGAAAGGGCTTCTTGGATGAGCCGATAACTTTTTAACGCTTTCTCTTTCCTTCTCCATATATATATATATATATATATATATATATATATATATATATATATATATATATATATATATATATATATATATATATATATATATATATATATATATATATATATAAAGTAATCATATATATATGTATATATGGTGTATTTGTAAAGCAATCTGTTTTTTTTTTAATACAGGTTTCATTAAAAACGTCTGACAAACTACTGCGGTTAACTTTTCTTATTCAATTTTTCCTGTGTTCTTATAATTGTCTACTTTCTGGACGTAAATTATGTAGAAATTGTCCAAATGTTTTGTATGTCCGAGCGATGTCGGCTATACTTTTAGCCATTATCAAGAATGGTTTCATTTTTACTTTTAACTGAGTGTATGGATTGTTTTATGTATGTGTCTAGTGTTATAGGAATGAGAAAGAAAAATTAAATAAAAAGTTAACCACAGTACTATTTTATATATATATATATATATATATATATATATATATATATATATATATATATATATATATATATATATATATATATATATATATATGTGTGTGTGTGTGTGTGTGTGTGTGTGTGTGTGTGTGTGTGTGTGGATGTATGTATAAATGACAAAAGAAAGATGTATAAAAACCTAAAGTAATATGTATGAAAGGAAAAGACGCAGATAGACGAGCAGAAACGAAAAGAAAGAAAAATATCGGAAAAAATATCTAAGTTACAGGAAGGAAATGAAAAAACGCCTGTGTGAAAATCAGAAAAGCTGAAAAAGACATTTTGTTTTCTCTAAGTTCTTGGAAATACTAAGAAAACATATCAATATCAAATGAAACATATGATTAAGAATATTAACAACAGGAAAGGAGGATGGCTGTTGCAGGTTTGACGCAAAGAGACGCGAGCTAAGAGAATGTAAAAGAAGATTGGTTAAAAGTGGTAAGAAAGGTGAAGAATTTAGGAGTAAAGAAAAACAAGAAAAATTGAGAGAAAGAAATGAATTTATCACTAAAATCAGAGGCTAAAACAGATTTGAAGGAGATAGAAAAGAAGAGCGAAGGAAGAGATAAACGGTTAAGAGAGTGGTGCCCGTGTGCTAAGAAATGAATTTGAGAGGAAGAAAAATTAATGATCGAATTATTGCTGTATAAGAGGACAGAAGAAATAGGATATATAAGGGAGAGAACTGAAGAGTAAAAAATGGAAGAGAGCGAACGAGAATGAGGTTATAAGGATCGTAGCAGCGACAATTTTTTTTTGTGTGTGTGATGGGGGAGGGGAGCAAAAATTTAGAATTTAGTCTTAAGTTATCAAAAGCCGCCAACATGGTTAGCGGGGAAGAACAATTAAAATTTCCAGTACCTCCTTGCTTTGATAGTTTTTTTTTCCTTTCTTAATCGTATTTTGTTAAAAAAAAAAAAACCTGTAAAAATTACTACAATTGGTAAAAATTTCTTTTGGAAAATGTGCGTGTGTATGTGTGTGTGTGTGCGTGTGCGTGTGCGTGTGTGTGTGTGTGTGTGAGAGAGAGAGAGAGAGAGAGAGAGAGAAGAAGAAGAAACAGAATAGTGAATTCCTCTAAAAATGCACCTGTTACTACCATTGTCGTTCTTCCTTTTGGCGACATAATGCGCTCTTCTAGCGAATGAAAGTGCCAT